GGAGTGGGGCTAACGGGGCCCGTGGGGTAACAAAAAGGGACCCTATGACCAGAGACGGAGTCAGGGCCTGAACATAAGGAGGCGGATATCGGCCGGAGGAACAATGGGGTGGTGGTAAATGTATAGCGGGCAGAAAGAGATAATTATCGGTGCAGCTGCGCCGATTCGTTTCACCCCTCGGGACGATCCCGTGAATGCGGACAGCGGCGGCGTACCAGTCAAAAGCCACGAAGGGAAAAGTTCACCGTGCCGTGACACCGCGCACTTTGCCATTCGCGTTTCCTTCCCCTGTACACGTGTGCAACCCTTTGACCAGCCTCAACCTCGTCGTTTTTTCCACGGGCCGTTGCATAAACGCAACAGGCTGCCACTGTTTCGCAACTCCCATATACGTACATATATTGTTCGCTTCCTAACGAAAAGATCGAAACTTTTGTTTCCATGCACTATTTCTAACGCTTGGTTTTGTTAGAATCAAATCAGGTTATTTGTGAGTTAACTAACTGAAAATTCTATACTCCCATAAAGTAATTACACTGCACAAACTCTGACTCATAAAACTTTTCGTTTTACAATGGTATAAAACATTTTTTTTAGCTTCATTCTTGTTGTTTCGACGAACAATGAACGAGAAATAAATTGAACTTCGTTACGTCATGCAACGCACTGTCCCGATATTTTGGCAACCAGATAAATTGTTAACCGTCGTCCCACTGTATTTATGCAGCGGCGCGTGCACCCCACTTTTTGTCTCCACCTTCCTGTGTCCACTACCATCTAAAAGCAACGCGCGCAGAAAATACGAAGCAGTTTTTTTATCGTGATGAAAAAGCACGTGATAAATTGACGTAATTTACTTCCTCGTAGCAAGATATTTTATTTAGTCTTCTTTATTGTGGTAAGTCTATTTTTTATGGCAAATATGGAATTTTAAAGTTAATGCATTGGGAAAAAAGATAAAATGGTTATAGAACACTTGTTCTAAAGTAAAGGGTGAATTCTCGTTGCTGGGTGCACAACACTGTACAAGTGCTAAATGCGTTTTCGACGGGATCGAGGACCTAATACAAAAAGAGTCAGAGATAAAAATAGTAACAATTAATGTATACACATACTTGTTACATACGATATATATGTACAAATATGTCTTAAAGTAGCTACTAGCTTTTTATTTAACTGTATGATATACCATTGATTGATCCGTAAATTCAGAAAATGTAACTCCATTCTAAAAATTATTACATCGAACAATTTATATGTAACAATATATGTATTTATACTATTGCTATGTATACATTACTACATTTCGCCGCTCCCGCGTTACTTCGTTTTTACGAGCACTTCTTTTTTTATATTCAACCGAAATAAGTTATATTGATTGGCCCATAAATTTGTGAATATTTAAAGTGTGCAAGAGAAGCGGTTGGAATCCGCTGAGAAGGAAATTAAAAGGCAGAGGAAGAAATGTCTGTGCGTCACTACCAGGAAGAAATGATTTTCGATTGGAATTTATCGGCACGACCGACAGCATACCGGCGGCGCGACGTTGAGAAAAAGAGAGGAAAGAGGACAAATAAAAGCAGCCGCAATTACCGCTTCCGTTTTGTTCATTCTGCCCGGAAGTCCTATTCATGCCTTCATGCCTGTCACTACGAGCGCCGTTACTTCCGTCATTGTCGTTACGGATCTACGATCGATTGTAAATCATTCCCTTCTTTATTCCCTCTTCCGTCCTATGGTAATCCAATTGATGTTTTGTACGAAACGCCCACGTACAAATTTAAAAAAATTAGCTTTTCCTTTCTTGTTGTTTTTTATTCTTTTTTTCTTGGATGTTTTACGTTTCAACATTATCCTGCTGTTGAATGATGAACTAACTTATCGCTGTTAATATAGTCATCAAATCTATATTGCGAAAAATGTTCTTACTCATCTTGGCCTCTGCCACTACCTACTTATCGTGTCCATAGTATTCATTAAATATCATTAATGAAGAACCGTTATCTCAATTACATTGTATGTATACTTAAAACTAAATTGACAAAATAATGAAGTTAGTTATCCTTGAATACTCGATTCGAAGGATTCTTTGACACGTTTTCGTACCTCCGAGATGGTCACTCGAGAACTCGGTAGCTCCAAAGACTGGAAGTTTCACGGATTTGCTGAGCTCACGTTTCACCGCGTGTTACGAAGGGGAGTGGAAGAGAGAAACGCGGAAAACGATCGGAAATTGTTAAAGACCGATTTCAGTCGCGATGCTGTGGTGACCACTTCTCGACTCCTTTCCACGATGCAATTTCCTACCTCACTCGACCCTTTTGTTATTGATTGAAGAGAAGTTGTTCCGTAAGGGCAGCGTTTCGACACCCTTCCGAGGACTGAGAACACGCTTCACCACTCGTAGAGAAAATTATTTCTTTCTCTTCCGTAAATCTTCGAACGTTCTTTGTGAGAACTTCGTGGATGTATAAAAACATAACATATAACATAATCATATGCAAATACGTAATACCTACGTATACATGTAATCATACCTTGTAATATATTAGTTTTTTATCTACTTTCTTGGTATCAGATTTTGATACATCAAGTGTGCTGATATCTAATGCATGTAACTAGTTTTGAAATCCTAAAATGAATACAATAATACGTCGATTTGCTGTAACCACTGTACATCCAAGTGCTTTAAAAAATAAAATTCAAATGGTTCTTTTTTTCAAGTAATATTTAGAAATATAAAACGAATCTTTCAATATCAAAGCGAACCATTATAATACATTAATAAAAATGATTACACAGTAATTATAATGTACATTTTATATAAAATTAAAAACACCCGATATCTATTGTCTTAGGGTGACATATTACAAGAACTTGATATTACATTGCAAAGAGGGTTGAAACGGAGAGCGTACGCACGCTCAGGCATCATTTTATCGGTCGTAATACAAGCCGTGCGCCTCACGTAAGGATGCACCCTGTCAATTTATGGGCGAGACGAGTACGTTGAAAGGGGTCAATAACAACCGATCCCTCTTGAGGCCCAGGCTCTGGAGACAAATTATCTGACCAAGTCGTCGCATACGACATATGCTGCCTTAATAGCAAAACTTAAAACGTCGAGCTGCTGGGAAGTCAGTTGGCCACGCCAATGCCATGCCCACTTGCGGTTACCGTTCCTTTTTGCTTCTTTTTATTTTGACATGAATACAGTGCGACATCGCGATGACATTCCACGCAGGGGTAATTCAGTCAACTGGCACGAACGTCAATTACTTTATTTTAAGAGGACATAAAAACGCGCAAGTTCAATGATAAACATGTACTTTTATTGTCAACTAATATGCATTAAGACAGGAAAGCAGTAAGTAATTTACTTATTGATTTGTCTCTTTAAGTAAATTATATTCTCTTCATTTGCATTACAGAGAATGAAGTTTAATTTGCTTTTTTCCAAGAATTATTCTTGTCACGATTACCTAAATGAAGGAAAGTAGGCCAAATAAACGCGACATTTGCTGTTTATTCAGCTTAAGTATTATGAACCGGATTATACATACCGTTTACTAAGGATATTTTACTTTTTAATTAAGTATAAGTTTGCTCTCATACAATTATTTCCTATGGCATTATACAACAAAGAGAGACTATAAAAGCAGGCCAGGAATCATTCAGAATTCTCTAAAGATGACATGTACACGTGTGTCTGACAATTACATTAGGTACTGCTAAATCATTAAGTTAAGCTATATTTAAATATGGAATTGAGACATTCCGCAGAAATAAAAAATTTCAAAGCAAATAGGAAATGGACAGTAAGTCTGTTTATAACAAATTCTCAAATTCATTTTCTGTTTGAAGTTCGCAATGTACAAATTCTGTTCAAAATTTATAGTAGAAATTCTCTTTTAACTTACGATACTAACGATACACGATACTAATTTTATTTGGAATTCACGATTTTAAGATGAAGAGAACTGAACAGAGGAGAAAATTAAAGCGGCATGAGAGAAGGAAAAGACCACGTGTAAGTTTCTCGAACGGAGAGGGCCCGGTGCAATGATGCACCTGATGGCTCGTTGACTGCTGGCGCGTGCCAGCACCCGGCTACCCACTGCCAGCTGCCACTGAAAACGATGGACCCGACTGCTCTTTCCATTATCATTATCAACTTCATCTATCTTTATTCTAAAAAAGGAAATACAGGAAAGCGACGACCTAAGAGAAACATGACAGTGGACAGCCGCCACAGAAGGATCAATTTAAACTTTAAAAAATATATATTTTCCATTTGGAGATTAAATTCGCAACGAGAGTGAATTATCGAGTATTGTAATACAATTAAAATTACACCTAAAATTAGCCGAATCCAAACTTAACCATCACAGAACGGAATCAGTTTCCTGTCGTCCAAATAAAATTAACGTGGTCGATTCGGTCACATATCTGGATTAAACTTAAAAGTTTTCGTATTTTCTTAGAAGCAGTGATGGGAAACCACTCTATTCAGTTTGTTTTTAGCTGTGAACTCTTCCACAAAATCGACAGGATGGATTTACGCTATATTTATAAATGTTTCCGTGCTCTTATGTATATTTAATGTTGCCCTAATTTTCTCGTAGACTGGTTATATTTTTACTGACAGTATTTATATGATTTTAATTTTCTTAATACTTCTGCTCCACTTCAGATTGATAAGTAGTTGCACTATGTATTTTAGGTTTATAGTTTTTTTCTTATTTTTTATACTTAGTACTTTACATGTATCTAACATTTTATATTATCCAGATTAAATACAGATTAAATATTTCTTATATACTAACAAAGTATGGAGATTGTTGCTTAGCTTAGCATATCGAACATTATATTAGTATCAAATGAGAATTTCAATCAAAGTATAAACAAAATATCTATTATCTAAATTTTGTTCTCGAATGTACACAATCTGGTTTCAATGAAATTCTGTCTAACCAGAGGCGCATCTGCCCTTGTTGCAGATGAGCGAGGCCAGGCCGCGCATCAGGCACCAAAAAGGTGGCAGCCATTGCAGCAGATGCGGTCCAGGATGGGGCGTCGTGAACCGTTGCGTTCGTGGACGCGATACCGAGTGCGGAAAATGCTCGCCGGGCACATACAGCCCTCATCATAGCACCCAGCCGTGCTGGATCTGCTCTAGATGCGGGCCGGGTCTCTACGAGGCACATCCATGCACTTCCAGGACGGATACCGTCTGCGATTCCTGCCACAGACCGGCCCCGGAGAATCTCGACTATCAGAGGAAATGCAAGGATCAAACGAATCTGTTCTTAGCGCCAGAAGACGCCCTAGGCACCGGTGAGGAGAGCGCGTTGGTCAACGAACCCTACGGACAAGATGAGATAGATGACGGCAAGGAGGTTCTCGAGAAAGACGCCGAGGTGGCTATCGTCAACAGAGAACTCGACTCGTTGGAAAGGTTCTAAAGAAAATTAGAACGGATAATGGAAATTTAAGCCGCTTCTGAGATTCTAAGATGGCTTCGAGAAGACAACGGAGGAATCGAAGTCCTGGGTAGATTGCAGGAAACAATAGAGATTCGAATTTGGTTTCTAACAATAAGACTAATTCAGAAAGACTTCGTGCAAAGGAGAATTATGTACGAATTGGGGGCATTACATGAACGAAACTTCTTTTCTTGAGGAATTCTCTCTCTCTCGATGTTTTTCTTCACCCGAAGGGGAAGAGGAATCTAGTTTCCTGGAACTAGTTCGAATGTTCCTAGGATTTTATAAGCGATTGAGCGAATGGGAAAAAGGATTCTTGATTAGGTTGAAACCTAATAGCAGTTACTCGTTACATCTGGTGCTCGTTCTTTACAGTTTCCTTATTATGTATTTCTTCCTTGTAATAATAAGTATAAACATGTTTCAAGAGGAGATCAACTTAGATCTATCCTCGATTGCTAGTCAGTTAGGCACTAAGTAGACGATAAGGTGTAACATATAAAGTTAATCGTACGTTGATCTTAAGCTAAATTATTGTTACTTTTACTTTGCCGTATAACTTTAGCCAACTTTATTGGTAAACAGAAAAAAACAACTTACTCATTTTGAGGCGTGGGAGTAGGTTACTCTGTAATTTGAATTGGACTAGAACAATGAACCCGGAAGTAAGCGCTTCTTTGTTATCGATCGCGTTGCTACATGCTGGTTTGCACAGCATCCGAAAGCTTTTTTATTTCGATGCCCATCGAACGTATCCATCTATGACGTCGGATCGAATGTATTCTTTTTCATTTGATTATTTAATATTTTTACTTTAATGAGATATGTTTGTATCTAAAGAAAAAATATGTATGGAAATGAATATTCTTGGCCTAGATTCAACAATCGTCTGAATAAAAAATATTATTTAAGCACATTTTTGTTACAAGTCCTGATTATGTATCATAGTATGTTAGCATATTTACGTACACTCCAAAGATTTCTTCAATACATACATGCAAATTTTCTTAAAAACAAACATTGTTTCATTTCAGCAAAAAGATTCTTATTCGTTTCTCTAATAAAAAAATTCTGAAAACTTCTGTAAAGAGAATTCGCACGTATTAATAGTTAAACTACATAGTTCAAAATAAATGTATCGCCACTATAGTTGATAATTTTACAATCCTTAAATTGTATACTAAACTTCTGAACGATAATCTACGTACAGGAGCTATTAGCTCTTATACTTTTTATAAAATACGTTTTTCGTAGAAGGATTAATTTTTAAAAGGAAGCCGTGCTTAACTATTACTTCCGGTGAACCAAACGAATATAAGATGCATATATACGTATGTAATACGTGTACATAATACTTCTGTAAATGTACATAGAAGCGGTAATGACTTCATTTAATTTCTGTAATTTCAGACAAACACTTCCGCATTTTCAATCATTCATTTTAATGATTAAAATCTTGTTGACTGTGCAAATGTACTATTTTTATTATGCAAAAGAAAATTGTTGATAGAACGTTTCAATTGAGCCAACATAAGCGTTAAGGGAGTGAAAACGAAAAAGAATTATCGGATCTCAATCACGGATGGAAATACACCAAAGCATCCACTGTATGTACTTTCTATCCGTTTTATTTATTTACGTCAATGTTCATTCCGTCAATAGACGTAGCTCCAAGAGACACGTTTGCTAAAGACACAATAAAGTACAGATACAATAATCTATATGTCCTCTTTTTTTTAACTGCATCCCCTCCAATCTTGCGCACGAAAAACCATAGAAATGCTTCGATGCTCCAGTATTATACGTTCGTATAACTATAATATGCGTATATGTACCTCGAAGTGTAACTATTGTCTCGAGTCATCGAAAATTAGAGCTGTCGATTTACGAAACGCCCGAAAAGATTGAAATTATACATGGACAATTAGTATCTATAATTGTTAACATTAACTCGTATCAATGAGATCGTTGCTAATCTAAATTTGAGAATCGGACGGTCATTTTTATCACGTATGACTAAACTTATGTTATATGTAAACACAGACTAGAAGTAGTCAAAAATGATTCAACGACCGTCGATCTTCAAATTAAGATTTCCATTGAGATATCCAGACAGATATATATCTGGTTAATTGTTATTTAAAATCGAGCATATTTAAATCAGTAGCTCTGGTCAAAATGCCATATCAGGTATTATGCGATCCGTCAGGTATTGATATATCGTTATCCTTTTGTATTATTATGCACGGTGCGCTACGATGTATACACAGTAATCGTATTATCGGAGAAAAATAGAAATTACAGCAATGATGGCCGTGATAATGGGTTTATGAATACGAAACAATGTCGTTATTCGCTTGGTGCAGTAATGTCTACTCGATGATGTCTACTATAAAAATAATGACGCTATAAAGGTATGCCGTAATACTGACAAGATCAATACCAATAAAACAATCCTCGCAATCGATTCAACTGTATCAATAATTATTATGCTCTAGCAATAAAGACAACCTCTAGCTTTCTAAGGAACTTTGAGAGTAGATACAAAACGTTCAACTACCACGTGTCGTTTTCAAATGTGAAGGTATTTTCTATGATGACCGTTGTTTAACGAACGCTATGCTACGCGGTATATACAAAGCCCTCTTAACCTTTAATTCGTCACGCGAAGAGTCACTTAATTATACTCGCGTTAGTTCGCTGCTTACACTCGAATGAAAGTAAAAAAATGTTCACTCATTATCAAAAGAGTTTTGAAAATGTTTCCGAGATTAGGCGATCTCGCACGGCTCATTAAAGGTTAAGCGTCTAATTGAAGTAAACTTAAACATATACATACTTTCTTAGGGTGAACAAATGCTTTTCCTCCTCGACTGATTATTCCCCATTTCGGTAATTGGCGTCAGCGATTGATTACATATTACGCGTAAAAAGTGTTAAAAACAAGAATCGAATTCGTCTGTTGAAACACACATCGTAAACACCACAACACGTTCCCGGACGTAATCGAATTTTAGGCGTAAATTTAAGTATACATACACATGTGTAGTGTGTAGGTCTTGATTCACAACGGATTCACAATTCATGAGACATTGTCGTATTAATTTGTTTCTACATTGACTATGATCGATAAGTAGTAATATGGACAATATGGACCCCGCGGAAACATGAATACTTTCAAATCGATCGAGAAATCATCGATTCGTCGCTCTCACTTTGGCACGATACCTGAGAGCTTTGAACAACTACGCAAAGATTTTTTCATTTTTGTATACTAAGAAAACGCGCATCGAATGTTGTGTTGCACAATTTATACAGTTTAAATTTGAAGAAGACGTTCGAATATTCGTGCGTTATAAAGCTGGACGATTTTTTATGTTCAAGCAATGATACGAACCATTTTTTTTTTATTGAAAAATGGTTTGCATCGTTCGTTGTATTTTGTCGAGCGAAGATTGCTTTTCTTCAATAGATGAGAAATATAAGAATTATTATATGTCTTTCGTTTTATGGATTCCTGACAATTGTAAAATTGTACAAATTTTAGTTCGAACTGAGTTTATATTGTCATGTAATTTCAGTCCCTGAACGAACAAGCACTTCAAATATCGTAATTTCATTAGTTATTCGATAAATAAATTGTACATCGGACGAAATGTTGCTCAAGCGCAGATGTTTCAATTAAATTCAAATAATTTAGACAAAACACACTTTTGTACGAGACTGATATATGTGTATATATGTATAGTTTAATAATATAAATCAATAGCATTTTACAAACGTACATGTACGTAGAGTAAAACGATACAAAATAACGTTCGCGGAAAAGTCTCTACAGGCTGTTCTCGCGTTGACAATGGAAGAGAGAAAATGAATGTAATCGTTAAAAATAATCCAAAATTATTTTCCAGTTTTCCTCGCGTAAAGATTAAACGTAGAAATTATAAAAACATCATACTACTGGTTGATTTCGATCATGCACGTGTCGAATTACGTTGTCTAAACTAAACACAGACAAACGAGGAACAACCATTTTCGATGGCTTAACAAAATTTGCAATTCAAATTTACGACTGTAGAAGATCATATCAACTTCGTTTATATATACAGCATATTAATATGCAAAACAAGAAGTGTGATAGTCTTCCAAATTTATATTTCCAAAATTTTATCCATAACTTCAAACATTCAATATAGATTTGCAATTTTTGGTACAAGAAGACTCGTGATGAATTGGAAAATCGTTGAGCCTTCGAATTCCACTTGCACACTACAGCCACAAATAAATAAAAAAAGCTACTTATGTACAACAAACAGAGCATCTACACTGTAAAATACGTTGTGTTGTACGCATTACTACAAAATACATATACTAGCTATACCGAAATGAAGTGTCGTGAGCGACAGCGAACATTTGAGACTTCGAATAATCGATTGCAAAGATTTCTTTCACTACATCCAACAAAATTCTTACGTTAAATCTATACACGGGGAAAATGAAGCACGAAAGATAGAGAGAAAGAGATAGATAAAGGATTTATCGGAATAAATCTCTGTAGCGTTGTAACAAACGCGTTTCATTTAAACACGCCACCACGTGAATCTATTGAAGCGATGATACTTTCGTAATTAAAATTGACCGCAGAATGAATACTTTTTGAGAAATGAAATATATGAGAGGATCACATTTGCATACAAACTTCATTCTTAGAATTTAACTTAAATACCAGTTATTTATTTTATAAATGTTATCTTTATATGTATAGAACACAATTCTAATAATTTGCTGCATTGTATTCTGTCTGTTCATTTTAATTACGAGTATAAATCGTTACAATAATTTCGCGTACCTGCGTATGGTCGCGATCGTCAAATACGATCAAAACACCGCAACATAATAATCTAACAATCGTGCATACCCGCACGTATCTCTCCTGAATAATTCGTATAATATATATATATATATATTTATATGAATTATGTATATTCTATTTATATTTATGCATATATGCATCCGCGCGTGTGTATATAATATATATACGTGTCGTTTGAAACGTGATCGCCGAATGACCATGATTCACACATCCGTTTTTTTTATGATAAACGCACAGACACTGTTTGAATCGTCGATACGAGACCCGTTTTTTCTTTCAAACGTAAAATCCAGCAGCAAATCCATGACTGGGTGATCGCGTCCGAGAATCTATTTCGTTTCGTTTGATCAATTTAATTAACGATTACACGCACGCCGTTCACTGCTTCATGATTCAGAGAACGGAAAAATTAGAATAGATTTTTTTGTTGCATTTTATGTATGTATGTATGTATGTATGTACAAAAACCGAGAAAAATCGATGGAGCGACTGAACTATAAAACAGAACACTCATTTTTTAATCCGTTCTCTTTTCCTCCTTGTCTATAAATTAACGAGGCGTATTTAAAAAGGAAAATACAGTAGTTCTCGGAACTACGTAATCGACTTAAATACAAAATACCACTGCGCGTATGCTACGTACACGAATTGGCTCTTCGTGCCACTTTAGGAATGTTCATTCCTTACGTAATGTATAATGTCGCGTTTCTCTAAATGAAAACAGATTGTAAATGTCATCGCGATTATCCGGCTTTTCCAAAGTACACACAGTCGCGTGTATTTTGTAAATAATTTTATTACTAGACATGATATACTTTCGTTTATTACAAAATAAAATTCGCAATGAAAGTCAGATTAAAAAGAAAAAATCATGAATTAAAATTTAATAAGCATTCGTTCTGTTTTCTCACGGGTCATCGAATGAAAAGGAACGTAGATTTTATCAAATATTTTCTTTTTCATTCGATTTAACGATAGTTCACATACTAATAATACATCCTCGAGATTACGAACGCTCTTTGAACTCACATTTTTCGCGCTACTTAAACGAACTTAAGATTCGTCGCTGTTGAACCTTCAAACATTTTTGATTGATAAAATTTATACAGTAAACAGTACAAGATAAAAAAAAACATTTTGATAAAACAACGCGTCATCTATACAGATCTCTTTATCGGTTCATGCTAGCCCTGAATTCATGTGTAGTCTAAAACAATAAAAAGGAATCACGGGTTTGGATTAAGGAGAAAGACTTCCAATGTAATTTTATACTATGTACGAACATAAAAAAATATACATATCGTGTTCGCATGATAAAGAAGCATATATGTATAAACGATACAGCAGGAACGAACGATAATTATTACAGAGGGATCGCCGCGCCTGCAAGTACTCACTCAACTTTTCTTCACGTGTAATGACACCTACGTTGACGCTTAGGTCAATCAATGAATTTCTTTATGTATGTACAATTCAATTGGCGATATACAATTCTCCACAATAATCGGGATAAAGTAATAACACATGAAGCGTGAGTTGATCGCAAACGTCGATTTAGAGCTGCTCTATTTCTCTCCTTTTTCTTTTTCTTCATTTTCTAATAGCCACCAACGCATTCGCAAATATGTATTATCATCTGTACAAGATATAATATACCGAGATATACATCTCACACAAGACTCGTTAAAGACGATTAGAAAAATTACTTGTTTCCTTGTTTCTTTGCTCGTTCGTTTACCTCTCACCGAACTTAGTCGCACTTTTCAATGAATGTAACCAGCCATGGATCTTCTCTTCTTTTTTCTTTTTTATACATTAATGCATGAGGTAAGGAAAATCAGGAGAAAGGGAGAAAAGCGAAGTTGATGGAAGAGGGAAGGGGAATCACGGGACGGGAGCAATGAAATCTCGAATCTACTAATTACAAGAGAAATTTTTAGCTCCGTTAAATACAAGGAAAATGCCTACGGTAAACAACTAATATTATACAACTACTGTCATCGTGCCCAAATCTACTCTCGCTCACGCAACAATGATAATCTCAAAGACGAGAAGGATAAACAAAGGAGTCGAGTATGAAAAATAATAAATCTTACGTAGAAAAAGATAAGAGCTCGGAGGAGTCATAGATGACGGACAAAGCCACGAGCGCGCAAATCGGTATAAATGATTGGTAAACTCATCAAAAGTCCTTTATATCAGCATAACAACTAACTATAAAAATTGTCTGTAAAAAATGTACGCTAATGATTTGAATGCGATTTAATTCTCTTGGGTTCTCTTCTATCTTTGCGGATACTCGTGGCAAATATCTAATTGTCATTTGACATAAGTTACAATCAATTTTGCTAACAGACACATGATAATTTAAAAACAGAAAAAGAAGATAGTAATCTTTGCTTGTTACCTTTGCCCGTAGACCAATGATCATCCACTGTAGTCATCGTCTACGTATTTTTGTTTATTCTCGTACACGCAATTTACCTTGATAGCGTTACGGAGCATTCCAATTGGTTTCGAATCGTAAAGTGGTAACAACGCTTCGCCTACACGCGAGGACTCACTTCTCCGATGTCCGCGCTGTGAGTGTAAGCTTGGGTACAACGAATATTTCTTAACAAACAATCATTCAGTATCTTCGGGAACATCGAGAGACGATACTCTTCTTGCGATCGCGATATGTCTTCCCGCGGCGTTTCAAATTGTTTCTTACATTAGTTTTAATGCCTGCTAGGCCGTATTTAAAATTGGTCCACCAGCAGGTTACAGATCTCTACTGACATCGACTCCTTACTCGAGCGCACCGTCAAGCGGAACATCTATAAAAATTAGATTCGTAACTCACTTAACAGATTATTCACTATTTAGTTAAGGAGTTTAGTTTTACTTTTAACTGAATTGACATGAAAGATATTATCAGATTATTTTATTACCTGCGCTTGTTTGTTGGGTTCCAAACGTAATAAACATCCTACTTGTTGTGCTCTCATATGTACTATACCTGCACAAACGAAATTATCGGGATTCGGATCTATACCGTCGAGCAGCTGCATTCCGAATCCTTGTAGTTTCGTACGAACTTGCGCGAGGTCCATCGGTTGCTGCGCTTTGAAAATTTTCTGCGAACGTTGTTGATTCACGCTGCAAGTTTATGATATTATTAGATTTTCATGACTTTCTTTATTTTAAATCAATGATAAACTGTTACGCACCCTCCGAGATTTTTCCACCGCGCGAAGAACGATTCTCCATTCATTTCCGTAGGTTCGAAGAATTTATTAATTGTTAATGGTAACTGCATCGTTATCTTCTGTGGCACATTGTTATAAATAAAGGAAATAAGCATGCTCGGCGCGCCTGCACGGATAAAGACAATGCGTAAGTCGACCCGCTTAGTAATCTTGTACTGGATAGCGCCGATGTAATACCATTAACTAAGAAAAATATTATGAAATTTGTACCGGAATAGTCGTCGATACATTCCGCATTAATCATTTGTTGTATCTGAGCACCAGCTTCGAGCACAGGATCGACCGGCTTCACTTGTACAGCCAGTTTCTGTTGATTCTCCTCGGACCAGGATATTTGAGGTTGAAAACTGTGAAGGGCATACTGAGTTTTGTTTCCATAAAAAAGACCAACGCGTCCCAGGTTTTGTCTAAATTCTGATTTTACTCCGATTTGGATCAAATCGTTTTCAAAGAGCACACCGTTATTCTTACAAACGAATCTGAAAAGGAGGAAATAGAAAATTTAGAAGAGCTTCGAGAGTATATAAATTAAGTCATTTTTCAAATCGACTTACTTCTTGGGATTACATGTGTTCGGGGCACCGTTGGCAGCAACTTTGTTTGGCATATTATAAATATCTCCCAACACGTCGAGCAAAACTCCTGTGTTGCTGGTTGGTTGAGAGGATGGCGGCGTAGAAAGACCTAATAAATCTGCCGACGTATTATTAACTGTTGCCGTCTGAGTTGCAGGCGCATCCACGTGATGATTCGTATTCGGTGCGGGACTTTTACTTTCCCTAATCTCATTCTCGGGCACTCGACCCGGTTTCTTTTTCTTAAGAACGGCGAGAATCGATGATTCTCTTTCCGGAAATGCTGGCATCTCCTCTAAAACGGTTGCCTATAAAAATATTACAAGAGTTAACCCGATATTGTAAAAATTGTGAATGACATTTATTCGAGCGAATTATATACCAAAACATCGCTGGAAGCTATAATGCTCAATTGAAGATACTCCGAAGCTCTTTGTTGTAGCTCCGCATCCGCGCTACGCAAATTACTGTCTTGTCTGAAAACATCTTGTATTTGGTTTCTCATTTCCGGGAACAAGTTAACAAATTTGATATACGTTGAAAGTAACAAGGCTCGAGTCATAGGAGAACATAAGTGATACTGAAAAGAAAACCAAATTTTATTAGTCTATCGTATAATTCACGCAAATGCACGATAATATACGCACGCATGAAATTTACCTTGGAATGTAATAACTGAAATTGCACAGCGGGTGAGGAGCGTTGATCCCCAGCAATTAAATTTCCGAATTCGCCAAGTATGTAGCCGCCTACCTTAACCATATTCTCATGGCAAGCAGGTGCTTGCAGAGCCTAACAAAATATTGTCGTACAGGCGTTTTGTTAATTGTTCCAAATAAAAAAGTAACATGCGCGTATGTATATCATTTACCTCGAAAACAGTTTTCGCTGCGTATCCTTGTACATCGTCTCTGTTGATAACAATTTGGATAACTCTGTACCATACTTCTTCCGAGACGTAATCACCAGCTATCCTAATAAGATTGAGTATCACGTCGACATACCAAGTGTAATCGGTAGCATATTTTTCAGCCAGAATGGCTACCTTGAGAACCATTTCTTCTCTGATTGAGTAATCAGCTGTCTCGAGGTAGTTCAACATTTCTTGTACTATTTCTTCTGCATTACTTTTGTCGCACATCGCGTACAAGAGATCAACAGCCTGTTGTCTAACGGATACGTCCTTCTCCATCTTCATTGACAAGATGACGACCTCTTGATGCTTTTTTACCGCCTCGTGCGACAGTTCGGATGTGGCCAGGTGGCACATGGATTCAAGCGCTAAGTAACGAAGATTCGTCTCGCGGTTCGATAGAAACTGACCAAGCTGATTGCACGCTCTGACCGATAATGGCAATTCGCTGTCATTGTGAATGATTAAACTAATCGCTTCGAATAGCACAGCATTCTTCGCGTTCGAGTGTTGCACCTTTTTCGATTTCGGTGGTTCTTGAGCTTTGTTCAATATCGTTTCTAGGCATTCGTTCAACCTACCCCGTACTCCCGGGTCTTCTGCTGTTAAAAGAATAAATTGAAATAGTTTATGCTACTTTGTTTTTTTGGCTTCACATAAACTGTAGTTGATTATGCAAATAGCAATAATAAATATCGTGTTTACTTTATGTCCATTATTTAGCACATATAGATTTAAGTAAATGAAGGTATTTACCAGGCGGTGTGTAATTCTGTAGTAATCGCAACAATTTAACGGATAGCCAAGGTGCTGGCACAAAATAATACGTATAATCCTGTAGGTCTGTGTAGTTTGATGTTACGATCTAATGAGACAATAAAGATCAAAGGAGCGTCTTTAGACTATCAGTCGATGAATAACAAATAACTGGCATACCCTGCTCAATCTCGAAACCGCTAGGCTGACGCATCCTTTGTACTCATCCGGATTTCTTTTTACAAGGGCGTCGATCAGAGAGGCAGCCGCGGTAACGACACCGAGATGTTGATCGTTCAATAGGTGAACTATACGCGAAGTCCATTCCCCACCGGGAACAACGTCTGGAGCGGTACGCAGTAATCGTAACAAACACAATGCTGCGCTTTGCTTGACCACGTCCATAGTATCACTACAATTTGCAATTATTTTATTCTGAGTGATAGATCTTTTGATACTACTTCGAGCAAGACTGTACATAACGAGTGGAATAAGATACTGAATAATAAATAAGTTACGAAACGTTCACGTACCCAGAAACGAGCAGTTTTGGTATTTCGTTCCCAAAAGTCTCTGCCATTTCTTTACTACCAATATTAGCAATGCATTGCAATGCTAGATTCACATGAATCGGATTACGCGATGCAAGATCATTTTTTATACTTTGAATAATCAGTTTGATGAGATCGCTATTCGTATTTACTAAGACTGATATGAAAAGGTAACCCTAAAACATATTGTTAAATAAAATAAAACATTGACTTTGATTGGAAGTACTTTATATATAACGATAGTTATGCTCAAGTTAAAGTTTAGAATCAAGACGATTTACAAAGGTATTATTCAATCTGTTTCAATAAATTGCAACACTTACAATTTGTTTCTCTGAATACTTATTAGATGAGAGTAGATTAACAGCCTCCATATGTCCAAAGTCGATGTCATGACCAAGCAGAAAAATAAAAAGAAGCTTGCAAACATACTTCTTTTTTTGGTAACCATCAAGTGTTTTATCTCCTTTGAATTTGCTGCGAATATTTGCCAATTCTTTATTTATTCTCTTAATTTCTGCCTCCTTGCTTTTACCTAATAAAGTAAAGAGATAAATAAGAATTCATAAAAAATGTTTTACTCGTAATTGATTTCTATAAATAAAAATATAAGAAACATAAATAAGTGCACATGTACAAATACTGTCTATATCTAATGATTTGTTATAGTTCTTGTTAAAAACTATAATGGCTGGATGCCACTTGGACTAGTATCAAAGATGTATTGATTTGTCCTTTAAAAGCTAGTTCCTAATTCCACAGTTTACATAATTATTTATAATATTGAATAACAAAAATGTTCTATAACCGTGATATTGGTCTATGATTGATTAGTGTCTATAAGAATTTCCAAGGAAACTGGAAGTTGGCTTGAATGGTCATTTATTATATTATGCCAAGTATTACATATTAGTGTCAGAGTAATGTGAAAGACAAGCTATATCAGAAAGATATGTTTATATCAGAACTCCGCCCCCTGCCTCCTACTCTTCCCTGCTTTAAATACTCTGTGTGTGAAGTCAATTTCAATGGCATCATATCTCTTAATGAAACATGGGTCAAAATTTCAATCATCTAAAAGTGAAATTGCCTCTTTGTTTTTCACAGTATAACAATATATAAGAACATTAAAATTAATATAAGAAACTTTTACTTGACTACAAAAGGAACAGAATTTACAAAATTTCAATAAAGGCATATATTAACTTCTAAGTTACGACTCTTGCAGTAATTAAAAATTAATATAGAAAAGATGACGAAAAATAATTGAATATTATGTGACAGATTAATATTTGTAGCCGTGAAACGATGTTTTCTAAAAGTTAATAGATAAAATATTGAAACAAATACAGAAGGGTGGACCAAATTCCACACTGCCATTTAAGGGTTACTTCTTGAATATGTATTTGTACTCTCGCGAATGTGCATCGCTATTTAATGACATGCAATAGACGTCCAGAGGGGAGGCTCAAGAAACCGATCTGAACGATATTCGCTGATTAAGAGTACTTGAACCAACGAGCTCTGCGGTCTCGGCAGCGACTTTGAAAAAGATTGTCTCATTGCACCGGGTTCGTGCACGATCGCCGATTCTACTGGCACATTACATGATCATTAGAAATTGAAAGAATTATTCACGCGAGGGAAAAGGTCTACCTTGACGCTCGAAAGGAAAATCTAGCTATTAAGCCGGTACCGCGTCCTAGATTCCACTGCAAACACTTTTTGACAGCAGTGTCGTACAAACTCCAATAGCGGTTCCCATTACGCGGAGATCTCTCCGAGATTATACCCGTGCCTAGCGTTAACAATCGCTGGAAAACGAATCGATACTACCGCGTATCAACTGATCGGATAGAAGAACTATTTCAACGGGAACAGATAGGTAGAACGATGGCTTTTCGCTTCTAATGATCTGTCGCACGGGATGCGAGTGTATGAGTAGCGCACCGCGGTTACAGTTTTTTTTTGAGGAAAAAGGTTATCCACGTATGCATTTGCATTATCGGATCGTGTTCTAAATACATACCGATTTGGGTTAGGGTAACGTTCACGCACAGCTCGATCACGCAGCACTCGGTAGGCGTGAAACTATTCGCGAGTCGGTGCCAGAGATTTCGTGGCTGTCGCCATTTGCAACCGTTGACTAGCTGACGGCTGCCCGTCAAATGCCATTGCGCGCGCGTCTTGCGCGTCGCGCGGGCAAATTCGTATTTCGAATACGGTGGATCGATTGCTTTATTTACCCGAGTTGGAATCTCCGGCTTATATAATTTTCGTTATTTTGAGTAAATAGAACATCACAGTAATCTTTAATCAATAATCAAATATGACATGCTTTTTTATTAATTCATTTTAATCAAGTACTTATAAATCTTAAGTAGCAAGCACATAAAGTTACATAGAAAATAGATTCTTTTTTCACATATACAATTGTGTTACATNNNCTGTGACGTTCTGAATTTTATAAAATCTTATTCTCTTTTCATATTTCTTTATAGAAAGGTTAATAAATATACAAACTCTTCATGACCATCTCCTTTGGAAGCAGATTGTGTCTTTAAATTTTGTTGCTGGTCTTTGTCAAGCTCCTTGTAGAAACCTCGTAAGATAGCTTTCTTCCGGCGCTCCTCCCATTGATTAACTAACAAACGGTAGTGCAATTAAAAAAAGGAAATTGAAAATTTTAAGATCTAACCTATATATACGTGTATAAATTATATTAATCGCATAGTTTCAAACATACTTTTATATTTATTGCTATACTTCTGCAGTCTATATTTCTTCTTATCAAATGGCTTCTTGTTTGTGGCTATATTTTCAGATTGTTTCTCATTTTTCGTATGCGTCTTCATGATTGCACGATTGCATGGACCTGAAGGCATTGTTGGATGTCAGTTGGATGTGGTTGGATGGTCAGCTTTGCCGTGGTCAGATCAGATTGGATCAGATGTCAGGTCAGATGTCAGATCCCTGCAAGAAAAAGCTGGTGGCAGCACTAGTATGGGGAACACCTTAGCCACTCTCATTTCCGCTCTGCTGATATGATCGCTGACAGATTTTACCACTAATCTTTATTAGTGCGCCAAAGTATCGACAATTCAAAATTCAAATAAATTCTCTTTCGCAGAACTACCGAGAAGAAGCTACCACCGTACAATCATACGAAATATACGAGTAAACCTATTACTTTTTTAACTCTTGTGTGACGTTCAACTGCCAGACAAATATGAAAAATTAACGCTGATTCGGACGTCCTCTGTTCATTTGATTATAGTAGTGATCTATTAAACTTAAACTTTACTGAAGTAATATTGGAGAATAAGGAGGATGTTGTATTTCCTGTTTTATCCCTAGAAGCTGGAAACGAACCAAGTTTCTTCTCAGCTTCCGTTTATCAATAATTCAATGTATACATTAATTAAGATGAGCATTATATACATGCACGCTCATAAACATTGTTATAATGCAAAGGTTATAATATTTATGAAATGATTTTTGCACAATCGATACATGCCGCTTGTCATTGTGTTGCATACCGTCAATTTATTCGTGACAGTGACATTGGATACCGCCGCATAATACGTGCGTGTACTGACATTTTTTCCACGCACGTGGAGCGAGGCGAAGGATGATCGTTAACTAATATCAAACAAGGTTGAAACTGTTGAAACTTATTGTTAATGTTTCACGTTTCTCAATCGTAGTTTTTACTAATAAACTATTTACGTTATTACATGTACATACATAGCTATGTAATAAAATATACTCATTGATATCATAGTTTAATACCTGAATTAATCTTGACTTTCATGTTATTGTATATCTTATTAACAATAATATTTGTCATGGCAGAGATGTAATCGGTAGTGAAATGTAATTTAATTGAAGAGCGATATTGTTTATGCAGCAAGTAATACAACAGCTATAAGCAGTTGCTGCCAGATCGTGTTGCAAACTTACGTATTGCGAATGTTACAACAAACCGAACAGGATCGTGTTTCACAGACTGGCAAATAAATAGCTGAAAATTTGATCCATGTAGTACTTAATTTCTTTGAACGATATTCAATAGTTAATATCAAAATAGTTAGATATAAATAAGTGTTTCGTTGACACATATTAGGAAATAGTAAGAATGAGCAATCTCTTTCCACAATCTTTATTATGGAATAATAATATACTTTGCTGAGATTAGTATGAAACAAACGTGCCAATTCCGCTCATTGAATTAAGCGAAGCTGGAATTGAAAGAGCAATCCCGGAGCGAGGACGCAACGGTATTGCTGAATTCTTTTTTGTCCGGTTGCCAAAGTAAATGATGGACTCTATGATATCAGACGATGACATCACAGCGCGTTAACCTCAGGTTCCATTTGTACTCAAGTCAATGGTTGCGATGCGAAGTGCTCGTACGACGACACCGAGCAATCTCCTCATTCAATCGTTCTCAGTAAGCCAAGTACAAATTACTATTAAGTGCTCACTGCCTGCTTGCTAGCAAAACATTGAATGAAATTACCGTATTCAGGCCGTGTCATCAACATGAACTTTCTCCTTCGATGAATTCTTTATTTTTAATCTGCTGATTTTAAATATTTAACTAACTAAAAATTAAGGAACATTTTCACTATATTTTACGAATATTTTGAAAATATCTGCAGAATGATGATCGAAATTGGCATGAGGAAAGGTCAAAAGAAACGAAAGCGAGCAATGAGTTCGCGTGGTATCCTCGACATTGAATTGTCGAAGAATGACGGTCGAAAGGTTACAGAATTCGTTCCATCGAATCTGGCCCCTAGGCTCTCTCTCGAACTTTGTCAACTATTAATAGCCAGTGTCATGTATACGTTGCGCGAGATGTACTATATTTTTAGGTATTTTCTTCTACGTACGAGTATCACAATACTTACGTATAATTGTCTGGCAAGCTGCTCCGTTTCTGTCGCTTGTTAGCCTCAACAATGTAATTATTTATTGAATTTAATGGATTTGCTGTATGAGTTGCAAATATAATTGCATTTTAACATACACGCGGAAGCATTGTACGAAATATTGTCAATGTGCAATATAATTTAAAGAGTCCTGGAAGTTTTCGGATCACCTATTAATAATTTATCTTTTTCTCATTATAATTGCTTTGAGTACCAGATTAATTGAGCAATTGTTAGATCGTGAATTGCAAGTCTTCTAATGTTGATTTATGACTTTGGTACTGTTTCCTGTGACGGAGTTTCATCGATAACATTTATTGTTTTATTATCATTCTCAATAAAGGGATTTTTCAACGGAGAAATACATGTGCGTGTTACATACAGTGCAGTAGCTACGTAATGAAGGAAAGTATGCCACTCCATATTAGGGACCATTGTGACGCGTTTTATCGATCAGTAAAACCCCCACAGAGGTGACGTCATGTTCTCCCACGCAGAGTCGAACGTGGCGTGGAACTTAAGGATTCCGTGGTCGTGTCTGAAAGAAACGCACATGACAGGGAAGGAACGGAGTCGTTCTCTGGAAGAGAGAAGCTTCGAGGCGTTGTCTAGAGAACACGGACGGTTTGCCATTGACATACTTCGTCATCGTTCTCGACGCCACTCTCCTTTTACATTATTTTACGTTTTGACGCAGCAAATTTTAATACGTGTTAGTAAAGATCCTTGTTGCAAATAAGCCTTGAATTTCACGAAATCTGATCTACAATGCTTGTTATTTATATATATAAAGAAAAAACTGTAAAATGAACAGAAATTGGGACATTTACTACAATTGTAATAGTAGCTGCTTATGCAATTTTATTGGAAAAACAAAGTAGGCCTAAGCGAAAAATCTGACTACACTAATAATTAGGTCGAAAATATAATGACATTTGATAAATTCGTTCGGATAAATGAAGTTAGGATAGGTTTAGACAAACATATCCTCAGTTCTGTTATTCATCCAGTTCTGGCAATTGCCGGCAATAGGGGTGTGATTCAACACTCTCATCTATAGGTAGAGCTACCCCACGTTTGTGAGAAAACGCTCGGTTTGATTCATCGTTTGATTCACCGGAAATCTTCGACGATAGATACTGGGCAGGACTATTTATGAAGAATAAGGAGGCGTTGCGTCGTGACGCGTTTCTCATTCAAGTTTGGTTCTCGCGCGTGACGCGGGTGCAACCAACGCGCGAAAATAGCGGCCGGCATCATCGCTCTTGAGTGTGGCGAAAAAAAAGATCTCAGGCAGTTCACGCGCGACGTAAACAGAAAGTTATGTAGTGTAATCATTGGCCTTCGCCGGGCGCGGTACGCCTGTCCAAATTAGAACACCTGAAACATGTTCGTTCGCGCGTGATTAACAAGAATGTAAGAACGACGCGAACGAGCCGAAACGGAATGTTAAACGAGCGTGATACGATTAAGTACAAAATGAAAAACGAGTTGCGCGAGATTTTTATTAAACGAAATTCGTGCGACTGCTCGATGGTTTATTATGCGAAATGAGTCACGCGATGCAAATGTTGCTGCTCCAATTATTACAGCCATTCTTTTTTGTCTTCGAAGACACTGTATTCTTCATTTGTCAGATAATTTGTGAGTTCAAACGTTTCTTATTATTATTACAGTATTTTTCCTTTTGATACTTGTAACGCATAAGTGATGCCAATGTAATTTTACACGGTTTATTGGCGAAATGTTATTAAGCTGATAGCAACTGTGAAGATCGAGTAAATTCACCGAAGACGAGGCTGTGGTAACTGGGTCGACATGGTAATTGGTGCCTCGATGCTTTTATGAGCGTTGTTGACTTCAGAAAACCGTTCACGCAGCGTGTAATTTAATTAGCCAATTAATATCTTGAAAATTGAATCATTTCTCGTTAGCACGTGTGAAATTGTAGGATCGCGGCATAAAAATACCGAAAGATCGGTCTCTTAAAGCAACTGTTGTGTATCTAATAAAATAACGTTGCAGCGTGTGGTATTTTTATATAACGATGACGAAATGAGATTTTTCGAAATCCGATCTCGGTTGAAATAAAATCTATATGTACGTGTATGTACATCTCCAAGAAAGAGACTATCAATAAGGAAATGATCGCATAGTCGCGTATTAGTCACCGTCTTTTGTATAGAATACAATCATTCGAGTTGTCTGTGAAATCGTAATTTACAGACGCCCACCGACTCTCCTTAGGTCACGTGCTTACTCAGAAACTTGGTGCATTTACGAGTTACTTTTTTACTCTGTTCCTTATTGAGTAAGAGATCCTGTTTTCACTAAAAAATCCGAAGCTTGACATTATCTTGTAAAATGCGACAGTGATCCGAGTCACCGGTTCTTATTTTTATCTAGAGATCTACAATTTGGTTCCTTTCTCGTAGGAGATCTAATTGTTATCTATGAAAGTGAAACTAGTATCCTTAGGACAAAAAACCTTTAACTAATGTATCGAAGGAATTTTATTCGGATGCGGCGAAACATCGCCTACGGACCGCGTGCGCGAACTCTGAGCGGCTCCGAAGAGGTCCGAACGGCAACGAACTTTCACGAACGGGCGACCGATCTCCTCGCTACTATTTAAGGAGCATTCAGTGAGCCGCGCTCATTCTTAGGCGAGACTGCTGTATGGTAATCCAGCGAACGATATATACGCAACGATTAAGAGCGATCATTCGCGAGAGCAGTGCTTTAGTAAATTACAAGCGAGTATTCTCGTTTTAAGTGGCGTTTAGTGTTCGAAGAGACAAGTGTGACCGAAGGAGCGAAAATCATGGCTGACAGTGGTATCAAGCGTAATGTTCCCATCAAGCTCGGTGATTTCAGCGTGATCGACACTGAATTCGCCAACATCCGAGAACGCTTCGACGCCGAGATGAGGAAGATGGAGGATGAGATGTCACGGTTCCGGAGCGAGTTGATGAATCGCGAGAGCAACAACTTCTTCAAGAGTACCACCAGGTATCTATGTTGCTATCGTCGTTGTCCTGTCGGGACGGACCTAACCTTTTAATGCGCATACAACCGGCACGATTACTCTTTTGCTCCATTATCTTGATGAATTTCCGATTCACTACTATTTTAAATACCTTAGCAATAGAAGATTTTATTTTTAAACGAACCGTGTAATATCTTGAAACTTTTTAGTGATCTTTTATACAAAGTACATTTGGAAATTTTTGGCCTAGATTACGTATCTATATCTACATGATCATTATGTGAAGATATCTAAAAAGATTTCGAAGTTTAATGTTCTTTTTTCAAGAATATTAATACAAATTAAGTATTGGGATTTAGATAAAAGAGCTATGTACAAATTGCGCGTTACTGATCGTCCTTATCGGTCGTAGGCTCCGGTGTTTTTATATTGTCCTCGGAAGCTTTGTTTACATTATTTTTTCCGTATATACACATAGTTTTTGCAGAAAAACAAAATTCGTGCGGCGCCATCTAGAAATAAGGAGCAATAAGGGCTGTAATGATTTTGTACTTTCCATTGTCAGACATGTTCCTAATATTGTTAATTGCCGAACATGTGCTGATTGTCATCAACTAATAATGGAGCCGCATTCTTTGTATATGAATCTTTTATTTTTTCAATACCCCCCACTCGAATGAAATTGATCGTGGGTAGTAAGCAAAAGAGAATCAGTGCTCGGTATTAGTCAATTATGTTAAGGATTTAACGCTGCAGAAACAAGAAGCACCTTTCTTTAATTTCTTGTGATATTCATTTGAAGACGTAAATGCGAATCGAACTGATCGATGCTGCAATTATTGCGGTACAAATATTGTTCATGTCATAGCAGAAAACTCGAGATATATTGTACAATCATTCCAAATTCATTTGCTTTTACATATGTAAGTCACGTGGTTTATTCCGATTATATTTCATGTCAACTGATAACATCGATAAATTTTATCACCAATTGAGAAGCCGTGTCGATAATAAAATGCAATTTTTTTCGATTACAAAATACATTACGCGTAAATTTATCGAGCGATGCCATTACATCATACAGTATAGAGATTTCATAAAAGACTGAATAAACATGGGAATTGATTAGTAGAGATTAAACATAAAACCAAATACTTATCCCACGCTCCAGAAGGCTTAACACTGTCCTGGAACAGGAGTCATTTAATTTTTTTTCACGTGAGTCGATGTTTGCCCGGTTGCACAACGAGTGTTGATCTTTTAGCGTGAATTAGCATAACACCGTGTGTTGCGTATAGATGTACGTATGCTCGCAATGCTCGCATTGCCTCGACACAAACACGCTTTACACAAAGCGACACATGAAAGTAGTGCAACGTTATTCAAAAGGGACCTACATAATTCCTAATATTCTTTTGTGCTATTTTAATCAGAAACACGATTCATCTCCAAGCTATTCGAAGGTGTTCAACGTATGTTTCGCACTTTGTAAGACAGTGAGAAAGAATGTGGCATGCGCAGAACGTGCATGCAAACATATTTATTACTACGGGGTAATAAAACAGTGCATAAATTAAGGTCACCGCCGATTCTCTCTTCTTTTTTCACGTGTGCGCATAGGTATATTCGTTCCATGTATTTCAGTAATGTGCTCGCTATTTATAGAGGCTTCGTAAGCGTGAGGGGAGCCCCCATCGGTACGTCTTCCTTGCCGGGGGGTAAAACCAAAAACAAACTTTCCTACCCAACGAAAATTTGCACCTGCTACTCACTTTTATACATATATTGGTGTACACGTATTTATATTACAACCCGCGTGGGATCTTGTATTCAGAGAGACTTCGAACATCTCATCATGCGCACAGGAATCTGGATGTTTCTATTATTCCGAGTTTGTAGTTCTAATTAGAACGTTTACTACAAATGATAAGTCTTCGTCGCTCTAAGTTCGAATTTCGATTTTCAAATGGAAGCTCTTTGATTTTGTAGTTATGAATTAAATGCTGGAGTTTTGATTGATAAGGTTTAACTTGTTATAATTATATTTTCATTTCATGTACAACTATGACAATTATGAACTATTATTTACTTAATATCATATTTTTTTTTACATATATTTTCTATTCGATAGTTGAGATAAAGCTTTCGAATAACTCGTTAAGAAGCTTCGAATATCTTTGGCAAGCCGAGAGGTCTTGGAAGTTTGCGAATATTCGCGTCGGAATTCGGACTGAACGAGCTGCGAATGAATTCGGCAGTGCGTGGCATGTGCCTACGGTTTTTGCATGCCAACGCCGCGCAAAAGCTAACACACTTGTGTTATTTTAATAGGGAGCCTGCTCGAGATAGTTGCTTGCTATCTGCCGAAACCACTAATTATAGAATTCCCGTTTTACGTGACATGAAAGCTAACACAATTTTTAATAGAAAATCGATCAACGAATTGAAAAAAGAAAATAATAATTGTTGCTTAATCCCATTTATTTTTGGGTTACGATTCATTCAACAAATTGGGCACCATAATGTTATGTTAACTGAAAATATGATGCTGAAAATTGTGCATAGCAATTAAAAAATACGAATTGCTGATTGAAACCACAATTCACAATTAAAGTTGGATAGACGGCGAACAACGTGCGATAATTTTTCGTCTGCCAGTTGGTTATTATGTAAGTGTACATATGTACATGTGTCGTTAATCGGTGCGTATCTATGTTGCATAATGGACGGCCGTTTAACGCGACTTGTTGCACCGACAAAGAACGTGCTTCTTCCTGCAATCTCGCTAAATGCCCTGCCATACCACATCATCGCGACATTTGACAGAAGCGTATTTTTTCCATCTGGAATTCCGTAGATTTCCGCAATGCATTAAATCTCACTGGATAACAATCGCTACCGTGTTAATCTTAAATGCTTCTAAATATCTCAATTAAGAATCTGTTCTAACTTAACAGCCTTTAAGCGTTAAAAAACGCATTGACAACGTTAATCTCGCGTCAGAGTGGACAGAATCGGTTAAAATAAGTCGTTACTCCTTAATACTGATAACATCTGCTTGTTAGTGAGTGTATAACCGGCAGTTACGTCAATATTCATCCTTGGCAATGACACGTTACATCGTGTCCCCACTTCCGAACGGTTCGCTCGCTAAATTGCAATTGCGGAAAAGGTGAGGAGCTTGCAGTGATCCTGCAACTGTTCTGCGCAGTAATTTCCTTCGTCTCGTCCCGAGCGACACGCGGGTACCGTTTCTGCTCTTTTAACTAATCCAGGTGTAACGTCATTGCTGATTTCATCGATCGTGAAGTATGATCGTGGACCGGGATCTGTACCCACCGGATCACACGACGGTGATTAAACTTCGGTAGGTGATCGCACGCGCGTGGACTGGGCAGATTTGCATATCCAAAGTTTATAATGTGAAATCTAACTTTTCGTAACGAGAAGGACACGGAATAGTAATAATAATTTAAATCAAGAAACTTTTTTATCGAATTTTCTTGAACGCATCTCATTCGGGCCTGCGTTAGTTTTGTACGATGAAGTCCATAAATATTCGTACGCATTTCAAAATTGAATAACTTTTTGATGTTAACGAATTAATTTTTGTTTATGTTTTAGAGAGATTAGTATATCATATATATGATATATAACAACAGATTTAAAAAAAATTGCTATAGATAGTAAACTAGTCTTTCTAATACCTAAACGAAAATGAATTGGTTCAATCCAATATTAGAACAGTTATTCAATTTTGAAGTACGAATATTTATGAACTGTATCTGTTAAAACCAAGCATGCATAAACAGTATTTTCGGCTACATTTCTGTAACGCATACTTCAAAACTAAAGCGCATGATTTGATATAATTGACGTTATCTGCTGTATGAATGAATTTAATTTCCTCTCGGTGCTTTGAGCATATTTATTTATAAGTAACCGCGTAGTCAACTGATAACGACTAAAACGGATAAGATAATAGAAAAGTTGAAAATGTTTCGTGGAAAGAGTATAATTATTGGAAGCATCGGAAATCAATCGGAAGCTTCTAAAGTAACACGCAGCAAGTTGCTCGTCAAGGTCTTGCGTACGTGAATGTTATAAATCATTCAGGCAACGTCAGAAACACGCTGAAGTCATTTATGTTTCTAAAATATGGTAATAATAAAGCGGCTAATCTCTTATTTTCTCAGAAGCAATGTGAAGTTTTAAGATATTAGCAAAAAACATGCCTCATAATATATTAACAATTGCACATATAAAAGTTTCAAAATAATGAGTCTACATTTAATTTTCCTAAATTAAATAGAAAAATAGTTGAACTCTTTAGATCACTCATATATTATTGTACAATAGAAATAAAAAACATAAATGCATGGTATTTTCTAAATTCAATACTTTATTAGAATTTTTTATTATATTGTAATTTTATTACAAAGACTATAAAATTAAAAGGGTAGATGAGGGATGATAGAGGGTATTGAGAGGATAGTTAAAGGTGCTTCTCTGAATACAAACGACGACGTTGGATAGCAGACAGGTGCACGCGATCGATGATGGATCATCAGTCGATCCGTGGGAGGTGAATATGGATCATTACGAAGCTCACGGAGTCACGTGGCAATGACGTAATCGGTGCTCAGGGACAGGTTGGTCGCAAATAGACAAGTACGGTTCGAAATAACTGCCCCCACGAATTTCGTTTGGAAATATTTTCTAAGAATGAGTCAGTAAAAAGTATCGTAGATTAAAATTTAAGTACTCCCTTCGTTTTGCGACTCGATTAATTAGATTTGTAAAGAAAACAGGATAAGAGATATGGTAATGTGAAAAAAAAAATGTATAATTAAGAAGTACAAGATACAACAAATTAAAAAATAGCATCGTTAAAATATTTTCTTTAATACAAAGTAATATATGGAACTGCATATAAGAATGCGTAATAAGAAAATGACTCATTTTCATTTCTGGAATAGTAGATAAATAATCGTTTAAATTATCTTAAAACCTAATACGTGTT